GCACACCCTCTTTCTTCAGCTCAGCATTCCTCGTCTCCCAATCATCAGATTATCTTTCAAACCTCCCTTTCCATATCTCGCCATTTACTCCTGCCCCGCACCGCTCTGGCTACTAGGAGAACCTTTGACGGCCTTGCCAAGAAGTCCTGCCCGGTGATGCTCAGACTCGGATTGTGCATATTCCCGGTGAATCAGAAGGGCGTTGCAAGGGAAGAACAAGACGCGGAATCACCTCTAAACAAGCGCCGGACCCAAAAGTTTTCGATGTGCTATACCCGGAGTTTCGAATTGAGACTTCTCCGGCGGAGACCGACTCACTCGTTCACGCTTCACTCACCACACGTACCTATCGTATCGTGATGATACCCAGAAATAGAAGATCGTTTGGCTTCTCCTCAAGGCTGCGCGGCACACATCACGCTACTATGGTACGGCGAGGGTACAGCCTTGCGTCAGCAATCCACGCAAATGAATCGTAAGCGTTATCGGCGTGTTAGTCTCACCGAAAGGCGTTCTTACGCCACAAAGAACTTCCATTCGCTTCAGCTAACGGGATCCCGTATCAATGAGGGGAGTTTTCGATCCCACGAATACACCTACAGTGAGGCTACTGATGCCTCAACCGGGGCTAATTGATGACCCTATCAGAGGCTACTTGATGACAAGCAGGGCTCCTTCATTGCTATTATTACCAAGAACACGGATATTCGTTCCGCGGGCGCCCGTACGAGAAGGTGCCAGACCGAAAACTAGCTCGTTCCCACAAACGCTCTCCGCGCACCCGCCGTGCCTGCACACCTCGTGTAGTCAGTCAGTCAGCCCTTAGGAATCCATCGAGCCGAAAATGTCGTGCTCTCATTCCCATCAGAAAGTTGAGAAAGTTGACCCGCGGACCTCCATCAGGACCATCCTGCCGGGCTCATAAGTATGGGGGTGGTGGGAACGGAGTGACGGCATGGCAAGGCCCCGTCGATCCCGATCGACAAAGGCTTCTTCTTTTCGGTTTTCCTCGCCCACGGTACTCCCTCCCCGTCTTGAGACGCTGGACCTCCTGAATCTTTCTGTGACATCTTCGCCACTGGCCCCTGAGTAACCTGTGCGAACTGTTTCTATCCGGGCAATTTTTTTCTAATCTCTCTTGGGATTCATGGTGCGACTTGATCGACCGATGAGAACAAGAAGACGTTTCGAAACGGAACAGCCACCCCTTCCCGCACTAGGGCGGTGGCTTGCTTGACAGCTTCGTTCGGCAGAGGCTGATGTTGATGCGTGCGACAAGGAAACCGTTGTATTTCAACAGTAGTCCGTTCAGAACGACAGTACCTCGATCGTGATGGTGCCTCATCTTTCCATCGTTGTTGTTAGATCCAAGCCGTAGTCTTCGATGGGCAAAAGACGCAGGGCAGGCACTACTGTCTTGCGCATTGAATATGTGGTCACTCAGCTTATTTGCCAAAACGTTCAAGGACCCAAAATTTGGTATTATCATGCTACTAGTCGATATCGATTGAGACTTGCTTTTACATGTAGGATGTTGAACTCGAGCGGCAGCCTCCATCTGGAATGTGCCTTCGCGTGAAGCGCGTTGTGAGGCTACCAAGGGAGACAGCATCCGCTGCATCAGACTCCTCCTAGTACATAGCGGCTTGCTTCATCAGCACCAAGCTTGACAATAACACCAAATTTCTTCCAAGTTCCCAAGTTTCCCAATCGTGTCTCTGATAGATCAAGACAGATGTTTCATGTTCGTACACTCGACAGGGAGTGGCCGCATTCACTACGGCCACCCCAGATCGACCCGCGGGTGCGTCATCCCGCGTGCAAGCGCCCAAAGGGAGCCGCCCTGATGTTGTGCATCTTGGTTGTCCCAATAACGACGGTCCGACGCCTCCCCCTAATAGGGATCTTCTTGTGCATGCCTCCCGTCCCGTTCCACGACCGCCCATGGCAGCCGCATGAGACCTGCCAGATAATGATTGACAACGGGGTTCGGAAGTGACGTTGAAGGCGATGCCTAGCTGGTCTTGAACCCTTGGTGGCTTGGGGGATTGGGCACGAAGTGGCTGATTGTTTTTGTGCGCATTGATCAAGGTCAGACGCTGCCGAGATGAAGATGTGCACATTCTTTCGTCAACAATTCTGCCACAAACAAGCGCCTTGCCGCGATCGCGTTCTTGCTTGGGCTGAGACTCTGAGCGAGGGAGTCGGCCGCAATGATCGTGACCGCGATTGATGAACAACAAACTTCCTTGCTTGAAGGATTTTTTTTTTCTCTTGGACGCGTTGCTTCATCCCATCTCGATGCATGCATGTTGACGAGCCTGGCATTTCGAGGTTGGACCAACGCATCATAGCCCTCAGGTCGATCGAGATGCAAGGCGTATCGCGATGGCTTCTCTACTCGCCAATGATACCATCGTGTTCGCCGGCGAACCGCTTGACACGCTTCTGTTCCCAGTTATCGATGTCCTTGGCCGCAAGTCGCTATTGTCCTTCATTAGTCCTGCTACATACACGGCTTCTTCTCTTGCAACGCCCCGCTGAGCTGCTTCGACACCATGACTTACGTAGTATTCCTCCTTCATATCAACCTTGCGTGCTGACCGACGCATGTTCAACTCCTCATCCCTGGTGACCTGTCGCACCCTTCTATCGTATTTTTCGTAGCGGATCGCTGTAGCTGGCGTCAAGACGAAGGAACCGGCAACCATAACGGCCACGAAAGGCAGACCGAACAGGAGGAATGGCCTCTTGGCCATTTGCGCTCGGTACTTGGCGGCGAAGGTGTTAGTAGCCGCCGAGGACTGGAACTTTTTGCTGTCGAATACGGCCATCTTGAGTGACGTCTTTCGACAAGATATGGTAACGCGATGCAATTAGACGCCAAATTGGAGTATCTTGGTTTATGGGGCTCGGACTGATTGACTTTCGATGGAGGTATTCACTCGGTTGATGGGAGTATCGTGGGCTCTCGACAGTGGCTTCAATTATTCGTTGCGGATGTGCAGCAGGAAGTGGTCTGACCCTGGATTCAGATGATGCGAAAATCACCAGGAGAGGGAACTCGGGCCTTGCGCTGAAAGTTTCCCGGAGCTCCCAAGAGAGTTTGAGCTCAGATCAGAGGCCCCACCTGCCTTGGCCTCTTCGCACGTGCCGCGCCGCGTTATGTCATCGAGTCGAGTCGGAGTTATTACATAACCAGCCATAGCTCAAAGGTCATCGTATGTCCGCTTACTCATCTTTCACTCACTCACGGATATGGAACTCTCAGTCGCCCAGTCACTCATTCAACTGGACAATCAAATTCAATACATTTTCACATCTCTTTCCTTCACTTTCATAAGCATAGGCAGGACGACTGGTTGTCACTGACGATACCCAAGCTCATTACCCATTCATAAGTCCTGCCTCACCTGAACTCCAAGATATTAGCCGCCGCCTTGAGGCGCTGTGGCGGTCCGCATCGGTCTATCGGCTTGCTAGAAAGGATGAAGTAAGGTACCCGCGGCATGATATCTGGTTCTGATCTAGTCTCCTCCGGCCCCAAAGTCTCTTGAGTCCCATGCCTCCAAGACTTGACCCGTATTATGAATGGGCTCATCAAACCACAGTTTTGCCAATCCTCCTTGAAGCTTATAGCCCTTTCTTGACTCAACATCAACGGATTGCTGACGTGGAACCCTTCCGAACGGTCTCGACCGGCTCCATCCGCATAACCCGTCACCGGGGAGAGGGTCCCCCGTTCTCCATCAAACCTCAAGCAAGGCTCAATCAACCTGCCGTTGTTTCCCCCGGAACACCAACTGTCATCACCACAAAGAGCATATCCGTACATACGCTTGATCTGAGTACCATGCCGCACATGCGAGCGGACCCGTTCTACAAGAGACCTTACACGTACCCTTCTGAGCCACTCCGTCCCTACTTTGTGTGCCATACTCTGCACTTCGGTCTCATCTGAAACCAAGCACGCCTAGCAAACGCACTTCGCCCCCAACTACCACCAGCCACGCCCAGCGATGTTCCCCGCAAACCTCCCTAGCCGTGGCACGTCTTGTGTCTTGGTACTATCCTGCCTATTTGTTTCTCGTCATTTTGAGCCGCCAATGTTAGACGTCGTGAGTCGGGTCTTCGCTTGCCGTCCAGAGACAAGCCCCACGGTCTGCCACAGACACAAACAAGTGTTATCTCCCTCAAACTGGATGGGCCCCAATAGCACCAGCTAAGAACTAGGAAGTAGGACCACGCAGCAACAACTGACAAAGGGGCCCAGGTGAACCAAGGGGCACGCTGAGTTCCCAGAAAGCTGGGAACCGTGCCGGAGGAGCACTGACCAAGCGGAAACTTTGGGCCCAATGCCCAACACAGCGTAGCACTTGGCCCGCAGGGCTTCAACACCGTCCCCTCTTTTCGCCCTTTTGCTACACATAGTGTCCAAGGCAGTGCTTATAGCTCTTGAACGAAAGTTGGTCCGGCCATTCCCCCCATCCCCCCTGTATGACACAGTGAAAGCTATTTCGTCGGATGACTTTTAGGCTTAGTTCTGCTTGCCTGTCGGGCCACAAGCCGACTGGGAGCTCCTGAAAGGGGCAGCCCTGGACAAGTGTCACGGTCTCCGAGGCTTGTTTCGTTTCGTTGAGGCGGACGACGCAAAGCAAGCCAAGTGGCAGTGGTCTGCTACTTTGCTGCCGCAAAGAAACTTGCCGGACTATCCAAGAGCCTGTGTTATTAATGGACCTTCTCCATTGCCGGCGTCTGGAGCATGTATAAGTTTCTCCCAAGTCCTTCTCGTCCATTTCATTCAATTGTTCAAGCGACTTGGCATTCTTTGACGTCCCACGAACATCAGAAAGATCTGCTCGTGTCTCCCATCGTACCCAGGCTGGTCCATCCCTTCGACGTTTCGAGATCCACTCTACTTCTTCGCTCACAACCACCAATTCAACGTCTTCTGAACATCTTCCCTTTTCCGAACTCCACACATTAACACAGTCTTCACAATGGGTTACTACTGCTCCAACTACTACGTATGTCTTCTCAAAGGTCACGAGATAGTGCGCTCAGTTGGCTCACGTGACACTCTACAGGGCTCCATCCACTGCCACAATACAGTCTCCCGCTTTGGCGATAGATGTCATCTCTGCGCAGTATGTGAAAGCCCTTCTACCAACAGCTTCCCAGGATCTCACATTTTACCGTCACAGGCATCAAAAAGAGGCGCTTCCATTAAAGATGGTCTACTTTCCGAGGCCGAGCGATGGGGTTCATCCACCCCCCGGCCCACCCACGGCGATCGCCGGGTCGAGCGGGCCAGCCGCCCGGCCCGGGACTCAAGAGTGAAGAACTGAGGCAACTACATGAATGATTTGACGCATAACATTTTAACGACCAAATTTGAGAGGAATTAGAAAGACGTGAGCCAGAAGCGAGCAATCAGCGCAGTCCAGGAGGAGGAAGCATATCCAATGGTCGGGAACGGGTGTGTGATACACAGGCGTTCAAAAAGCTCAAACGGACCCCGCGAAGCGAGACGGTCCAAGCATTGTTCTTTCATTTGGGGCACAATTATGGAGTGAGGCCTACCAACCGATGAGCCTCTCATTCAAAATGTTAGATAACGACATACCAATTTAATTGATTTGCCATAATCGCAAACATTTGATCAAAATATGCGATACACATTCGACCATGAAGACTCTCATGAGGCTTCGACGCGGTACCTACTCGTTGGGCAAGTCATATTGGCACGGCCGTGCCAATGTCGAGTCAGAGTACTCCGCTAACTCTAAACTGACGCGCCGCTGTGATGGCCATGACCTCTTGAACGTACTTAAGGTTTTCATGTCACTGGACGACTGGACTGATATCGTGAGGGGGCGGTATCGACAACTTTGGGAAGCCGATGCTCGAACTTTAGACAGGTCATCCTTCAAGCCAGACTCAATAAGGGCAACGTAAGCAAGGTAAACCAGAGTCTGTGTGTGCGAGCTGCAAGGCTACAATGCCCGTATTTCTAAATCTAGGGACCCGTAACCATGGCAGGGGTGTGCCGTGTCCCGAAACCTCATCACATCAAACAAACCCAGCTCAGTTGAACTCAGAAACACCGCCCCAACAGTTCGGCTTAGACATATCCACCAGCTAACTCTATGGCGTGGGCAGTAAATGCCTCCCCTCTGCCGACGGAAAGCAAACTTTCTGGGAGAACTCGAGTCAAAGTTGAAAGTTCACAGAGGAGCAATCTTGTGTCATAGAAATCTCAACTTGTCTGATCAAATGGCTGGAAAGAAAAAGGTTCAAACCATGACAGGTGGGCCTATGGAAAGGGTTTGTTTCAGAACCTGCGGCAGATCCACGAACAACGCACTACTACGCAGCAATCCTCTCAAACATTGCACGTGATTCTCGAACATCCAGCTGTCAGAAGATTTGCGTAGACGGCCCGAACAGCTATCAGTCATTGCTTTCCGAGGGGAGGATCAGAGATTGCCGCCGGGACGAGTTGAGACGATCACGCCATGGCCAGACTGAGCCCGGACCGTCCAAGATCATGGATCCTTTGTCGCTCTCGACTGGGAACTTCGGATGGTGCTTTTCGCTCTTGCGAGTCCGACGTGTTTTTGAACAGATCTCATCAGCTGGCTTCTGCCACCTGGGCGAGGTTACGTACTGAAAACAAGTCAAGGGATGCTGATTTCGGATATGAGATCTTCGATCTCGGCTCACATGTAAGCACGGAGGAGACCGTAAGTGGCATAAAGACACTCTGATCTTTGTTAGATTGAAGTAGCTGTCAGATTGATAGGAAGTTGATTTGACGCTACGTAGAGCCGCTCGTACGGTTTCTCGGGTTCGCGACAGCAGACAAATACCGCCTAACCGACTTGTCGGTCGATTGCTTTACATGTGAACCTGCATTATCTGCCCACCGTCCAATGTCAATCGAACGCCCGTAATGCCACGTGGTGGAGCAGACCCCTAACACAATCGAGGTTTTCACTGTCACATATCATGATTCAATTACCCGGCAGTATCGATGAGCGTGATCATCTTTCGCCCTCTACAGTCTGATGACTGTTTTGTGCACATCTGGCGTTGGTCAAGGATTGGTATACCGGAAGCACAGTAGCCTGAAAATCGAATGATGATCGAAGAGACATGTTTAACCGAACCTGTGTTGTCTTGCAACGTCCGCCTTGGTGAGGCCTGACACCGCCCAACCAGGGAACGTTTCAAAGTCACCCTTCTTGTAACAGGGCTTTCAATCACCACTTCCAAGCTCTTGAAGCCAGGAGGCCTAAGTAGCATCTATTACGAACAACCATATCTCGGTAGCCCTCATCACGATATGTCCATTTTGTATGATCTGTGTTCAGTGGCCCAGATGTGAAGAATCGGTTCAGCATTCGAAAGGTTATGCAATAATTCTTCCAATAGCCCTCGATTACCTCTGAGACTCATAGTGACATGAGCTTAACACAAACTTATCATTCGGATAAAACTCAGAACACTCCTGCTGCCCGCCAAATGCTGCTCAAAGTCTGGCTTCTATGAGAGTCAATCGGAAATAAGATTGACGACTTCCGTGGTACCAGCACATTTCCATATTATCCCGCCACCCGCAGTGCCAAATCCATCATCAAGGTATTTGGTGAGTATAAAAAGTGAAAACTTTTTACGCCATGTGCTTGGCTACCATTCTTTTCTTCCCTGCTACATTATCAAGGAGACGGGACGACAAAACATAAACTTACTACGCAATCCACGCGCCTTCCCCCGAATCGATACCACCAAAAGAATCAAACAACTACAGAAGATGGAGTCCCTCCCGAAATCAGCACAAAATAGTGCCCCAACACCGTTAAAAGACCCAACTTAGCTGGTATATTTCACAAGTTCCCACAACTACCTCTCGAATTGCGTTTCTTCATCTGGGAACAAGCTCTGTACCAGCTAGACGCTGAAGGGCAGCCACTGTTTGCCAAGCTCCCGCAAATTTTGGAGAAGGAAGCTGCCATACAAGATGCGGTCGAAAACGCTACGGAACCTTCCGAACTTTTCGAATCCTCAAAGCATACGCCCAGCAATTGCAAACAATTTTCGATACATGGCACACCTTCAATGCATTTCGTTGATGCTGATATTTGGCTGGCGTGTAAGGAGTCTCAGACGGCGTTGAAGAAGGCCATCAAAGAGTGCGTACACAAAAGGTCCGTGAACAAGACGTTCAAAACCTCTGGCAGTCAGAAATCACAAGGGACGTCAAATGCGGACAGCAGCCCCACCGACGAAACAGACTCATCAACAATCGGTCAAATTTGGCAAAAGAAAACAGATGGATGGGCATCTGCCGTGACCTTCAACTGTAGACTCTTCTGCTATCAGCTTTGGAAAGATAGGGAGGCGGCCATACCAAGGCCTCTTCGTTTCCCTTTCCAAGTCACCAGTCCCGATCTCCGGGCAGAGTTGATGAGAACCCGGCGTATGGTCTTCGAGTATGATTACTCCTGGATGTTCAACTCTTGTAGGGAGTCGGTGGTGTCTCTCATGAACCAGAAAGATATCAGAGGCTACTTCTTGGAAGCTGTGTACAGCGAGGATGATGGCGGCCCGGCGCAAATTTATCTCATAGACTATGATATCTGCTTAAAGCCTGGTGCTCAGATTCGTAAGTCTTATAGCTGCGGCGACCGCAGGTTCAATGATTTCCACTACTCTGATCTTGATATGGACAGAAGTAGGCCTTTGGGGGTTCTGGACTTCCTCGAAGAGGTCCAGGATTGGGCACAAAATTGGGTAGACGGAAATGATCCATGGATGACCGATCCTTTGGTTACGCCCGGGCCAAGCTGATGGACGTTCGTAAATATATTCGATCTTGTTCGTGTCTTCGTTTGTGAGTTAGCTCAGTAGTAGGAAATTGAGAACCCACGGTTGCTTGCTGGTGGTATTGAGAGTAAGCAAGACTGAGAAGTCATGAACTATAGCACATCATTATCATGAACCCTCTCACTACCTACAACAAGTCAGGATCAAGGTACTATGAGATATCAAATCCTTTCATGATCTACCATATCTACTAGTGTTTTGTCTCGTAGAAAAATCTACAATCCATGATCCAATTGAATCACTTAAACAAAAGGACCCCTACTGCCACCTTTCCACAAACCTATTGAATTCCTCAAGGGTCAGTCATGTTGCCCTCATCTCTCAGGTAGGGGCATCCGGTTCTTTGGAGTCGTTTCCTTTCTCCTTCCTTAAGAGAACTCTGTACTCTATGCTACTCCGCATGAGCAGACTATCTTGGCGAGTGGCTCAACCCAGGTGAGAGAGCCTGTCGCTTGCGGTAAGGCATTCATCTCACGAAGCTGACACAGACGATAGGAGCGTCCCAGACCAAGTCAGCGATGGCGGAGGTGTGCTGCAACAACCTGCTTGATTGGACAACAGACAGGTGCCGTGGTTATCACTGAACCCGCCGGTGAGACAACTGATGCGGGTAGAAGTGCCGTGCATGATAACGCTGACCAGCCGAGCCAGCCTGCTGAAGCGGGGTTTTGTCCAACACCCAATCAGCCCCAAGAGGACCGAACGAATGCGTCCGATCACAGTCGGTGTAAAATCAGGCGACCAATGAAGTCTCGATGTAAATTAAGTCATGTTCTGTGAGAGACAGGCGGCATGTAGCATCTCGGGCCTCATGGTTTGGCCCGTTGCGGACCGGTGGCGATGTGACCAGCGTCCGAGCCTGATCCTCGAGGCAAATCAGCACATTAATTCTGGGGCTCAGCTCTTGACATCCCTCAAAATGGGCCTTGCGATTGTCTTTCCTCTCTTGCATCGAAACCCGCATGGAATCATTGAATCGGTCGCGCAATGATAGTCTCGACCATCAATGGGTATAGAATTCGACGAGATGCTCTTGAGACTTGGCTCCAGAAGACTCTAGGTGCGGGAAACTTCCGCCTCACAGTAAGTCTGTTTCATTCCCCTTCATGTAACAGGAGAGTAATCTGCGGATATTCCTTCAGGAACAGCGCACAGAGGCGGAGGGACATTGGCGACAGACACAAATGATATCGAGGTTGAGACAGGGGAGAGAAGGAAAGATAGGAAGACAATACAGCCAGAAACAGACGTAAAGAAGAGGTAGCTACAGATTGAGAGGCAAACAGAGCTGACAGTAGGCAGCCCAAGGACGGCGACTATATAATAACGGCCACGATAGTAATTACTCAGGTGATGTTAAGAGTCCAGCCTACGTAAGTCTACGTTAAGGGGATTTTAGTATATAGAATCTAAGCTAAAGAGTAGAGGTTTTTAAAGTAGAGGTTCTATAGAAGTTCTATAAAAAAAAAGTATTTAAATAGGACCTCTATAAAAGCGGTATAATAAATTATAATAATATCCGGGCTAAGGCTCGGATTTATTAATCGGGTCTAGTTTATAATATATACCCCCCTATTTTGTTTTTAAAACGAATCCGTTATTAATCCGTTTTTTAATTATAAATACCCTAGATAGTTAACCGTTTTATTTTAACCCGCCGGTTAGCCGCCTATAGTTTCTTTTATTAATTTTTATTAAGCCCCCCCCCTTTATAAAAAGCTTCTTTTTTTTAACCTTTATATAACGATTTATAAATACTTTAATTTATTTATTTTTACGTTTTTATTATTTAAATTTCGTTAATTTATT